AGGTCAGCTGCTAAGACTTGTCCGAAAATATGGGGGCTGTCTCTAAATCCCTGGGGCAGGACTGTCCAGGTGAGCTGCTATGACAGTTGGTGTCAGGATTGGTTCAGGTGAAGGCAAAAAGGAAGTAAGACTCTGGGTGAAGGGGAATAGTAAAGAAGGCATCCTTGAGGTCAAGAACTGTAAAATGAGAGGTAGTGGAGAGAATGTTGGATAATAGGGTGTATGGATTGGGGACCACCGGGTGGAGGGGTACCACTGCCTTGTTGATGAGGCGCAGGTCCTGAACTACACGGTAGTCGCCGGTCAGCTTTTGGACCCGTAAGATTAGGAGTATTACAAGGGGAACTGGTGGGGATAAGGAGTCCCTGAGCCAGAAGCTGGGTGATGATAGGCTTTAGGCCCTGGCGGTGGGTCTTTAAGATGGGAAACTGAGGATTTGAGGGAAAGTGGGTAAAGTTTTTGAGAAGTATTTTAACTGGTGTGTGATGTCTGGCCACCACAGGCTTGGAGGTATCCCATACCGAGGGATTAACTTCATTAGGAGGGATAGGGGGTTAAGGCGAGGAGTCAAGACAGGGTGTGTTACCGGTTAGGAATAGCAGTAGAAGGTGGGCAGAGGATGGGCTTGAATGTGGGTGGCCAGTGAATTGGAGGGTGGCCCCTGCAGTCTGGAGAATATCTCGTCCTAAAAGGGGGACTGGGCATGAGGGTATAATTAGAAAGGAGTGGGAGAAGCGATGTCCCTCAAGAACACAGGCTAAGGGACGAGTTTGGTTAGGAAAGGAGGGCTTTCCATCAATCCCCATGACTGAAACCTGGGAAGGTATGCTAGGTCCTGAGTAGGAAGGCAGTACAGAATAGGTAGCCCCGTATCCATTAAAAAAGAAATGGACTTAACCCACTGCCTGCAGCGTTACCCTGGGCTCAGCAAGGGTGATGGGGGTCCTCAAGTCCGGGCTCTGTCAGTCATCCAGAAGGCCGAGAAGTTTAAGCGGAGGGACTGCTTCCTGTGGACCGGCCTGCCCTCCACATAGAGGTGTGGGGGGCGAGCATGCAGCCTGGGACAGGCAGTCAACCTTCCAGTGTCCAGTCTGTTTGCAGCTTGGGCAGGGTCCAGGAGGTGGATGAGGACAGGGGCACTGCCGTGCCCAGTGTCCCTCCTGGCCACATTTAAAACAGGGCCCAGGCGGGGCCTTTGAAGAATTTTGGGAGGGTTTGATGGACCCCCTCCACCGGATGTTCAGTGGGCTGCCGGCCTCGGGGCTGCTACAAGAGCTCGGGTTGGAAGGCCTACCTTTTGCTGTAAACCAGCCTGGTGGGTGGCCTCAGCCTTTTCCTCTCGGCCGTTGAAAACTTTAAATGCCATGTTCACCAGGTCCCATATGGGAGTTTGGGGGCCCTCCTCAGCTTTTTTTTTTTTGGACGGAGTTTCGCTCGTTACCCAGGCTGGAGTGCAATGGCGTGATCTCGGCTCACCGCAACCTCCACTTCCCAGGTTCAGGCAATTCTCCTGCCCCAGCCTCCTGAGTCGCTGGGATTACAGGCATGTGCCACCATGCCCAGCTAATTTTTTGTACTTTTAGTAGAGACGGGGTTTCACCATGTTGACCAGGATGGTCTCGATCTCTTGACCTCGTGATCCACCCGCCTCGGCCTCCCACAGTGCTGGGATTACAGGCTTGAGCCACTGCGCCCGGCCCTCCTTAGCTTTTTTAAGTTTCCTCCTTATATCAGCTGCCTACTGGGAGATGAAGTGGGTGGCTAGGACTGTAGCCCCTGCTAAGGAGGCCGGATCTAGCCAGGTATGGAGGATCATAGCCTTAGTTAATCAGTCTAGGAAGGCAGCTGGGTTTTCATCAGGACTCTGAGTTATTTCCCTTAACTTGTCATAATTTACTACTTTTTGAGCTGCGCTCTGCATGCCCACTAAGAGGCACTGTAGCATTTGGTCTCGGCGGCGGCAGCAGCCATCTCGACCAGTTTGATAGTCCCAATTAGGGTCTGCCTTGGGGACTGCTGCGCCTACTGGCATTCAATTGTTTGTGAGATGCACCTGATCGGTGTGAGTTCAGGCTGCTGTAAGAATGCGGTCACACTCATTGGAAGTAAGAGTGGAGGACAGGATCACATAGGTGTATCATGCCAGGTTCGGTTGTATGCTTGGGTGAGGTAATGAAATTCTTTGGTATAAGCCGTAGGATTGGTAGAGAATGACCCTAGGCGTTTTTCAATGGCTGATAGATCAGAGAGGGAGAAAGGAACATGCACTCAGACAGCGCCTTCTGCTCTGGCTACTTTGCAGAGGGGGCATAGGAGAGGAGTCCTATTGTTGAGAGTACAGCATGAGCGCGTGTGAGCACTAAGTTGGGATCAGGAAGAGGAGGAGCCAGAGGGGGTTGGGGTTTCACATAAGGTGGGGGATCGGTGGGTCGGGCAAAGGGAAAGGGGAGTTCTTCGGGTGGGTCGGGGTCGGACAGGGAGGAAGAGGAGGGTGGAGGAGTAGAGGGCGATGAGGAAGTTTGTGGCCAGTAGAACCTGGGTGATGGTGCAGGAGGAGCAGAGGGCAGGGCAGGAGCGAAGGTACCAGAAAGCCTGCACGTAGGGGACCTTGGACCATTTACTGTTCTTTTGGCAGAAGTGGTCTAAGTCTGTCAGGACGTTAAAGTCAAGTGTGCCCTCTGGAGGCCACTTAGATTGGTTGTCTAGGGGATTCTGTGACCAAGCCACGGTAGAGAGGAAAAGCAGCCTCCTCTTTTTAACGGAAAGGCCCACCCAGTTTGGGTAGATTTTGGACTAGGCACCCTAATGGCAATTTAGGGTCTGGGTGGGACTTCTGATTGTCCATGGTTCACCTTCTTGTGGGGTAGTTAGGGGTAAGAAAGGAATATGGAAAGGTATTATACCCAATGCAGGCAGAAGTACCCCTTTTCCGGGGGAGGATGGCTAGAGAACTTACAGGCTGCAATGATTCTGATGAGAAAGAAAAAAAAAAAAAAAGAGACAGGGCTAGTGCTATCTGAGACAAAACCACATATAGGATTGACAGACGAAGGGTGGGTGCCCCCCAGATGGGAGACCAGTCTGATGCCTTCCCAGCCACGTCCCCAAAGGGAGTTTCAGGGCATCTTGGCTAAGGTGTACTCGTATAACCCCCGGGCCTGGTCACCTTCAGTTTCCTGAGGTGAATCACTGTTATGCCTTATGACGTCCCTGTGCAACCACAGGTTGAGGCCTACACAAGCCCCATGGCCATCAGGCCGTGGGACTACACATAAACTCACTCACTCAGGATTGGGAAGAGAAACCAAAAGTACGGTTACTTAATTAATGGGAGCTTATGTGCCAAAAGGCTGATTTGAGATAAACGTTTTTAATGTCGTAAGCTGGGGGATTTGGTCCTGTTGTTAGGCAGGGCCTGGGTCTGCAAACAGGGCTTCTGAATACCCAAACCTTGGCCACTACTGTGGAGATGTTCAGAAGGCGTCCCGGACTGCACTTCCGAACACCGGAGAATACAAGAGGGTTCAAGAAGGTGGGGACGTCTCCCTCAGAATCCTGACCCTGAGAAACCCCTCACAGGGAGAGGACAAGAGTATAGGGACGTCTCCTCTTCACTCAGGTCCTCGGGACGAGGCCGGGGCCCTGGGCCCATGGTGAGAAACAAGAAGGAGCCCCGGACACGGCCGTGATTACAAGCTGGGAGTCCAGGAGGCAGGCAGCGGGAGAGGCTGTGGGCAACAGAAGTCTTACCTTGTGGTGGAGTGGTTCCCTGGTCCGGCTTCGGATGAAGGAGTCAGTTTACCCCAGGAGGGGTCTTACAACTCCTCCCGGGTTTCGGCACCACTTGTAAGGTTTATTCTCTGTAAGGTTTATTGCCGAGTTTAAAATGAGGAAACTGAGGCCTGCATGAGAACCAATTAGATGCCAATTTATTCGGCTCCCAGGTGAGGTTCTATGGTCCAGGGGAAGGAGGCCAGAGAAGTTGTGCCTAACTCCTCTCAGGCGTAGGGTTATATAGACCGTGGAGAAACAGGACGTGGACGTGGCAAGGTAGGCGGGATTTCCGGTGAGCAGGCTGGATGGGACAATGCGCTATTGGGCAGGTTTTGGCGGGGTTTTCCAACAGTGGGCTAGGTGCCAAGTGCAGAGTTTAGTGTCGAGTGCAGATCCTGGTGCTGAGTGCAAAGGGGATTTCCAACGGTGGGCTAGGTGCCCAGTGCAGAGTTTGGTGCTGAGTGCAGATTCTGGTGACGTAATTTCAGGCGTGGAGAGGGATGGGCGTGTCCAAGCTCCAGGCGAGGCAACCGGCCTTACACTTAGTTTGAGGGTAGTTAAAAATGGGGTAAGCCAGGTTTGGTCAAAGTTTGCCAATTCCTGGACTAGTCTGCTGAATCTTTAAAGCTTATGTAAAATCATCATTGCCATGATGGAACAGACTTTGAAAAAATCATGACTGTAGCTGGGCATGGTGGCTCACACCCGTAATCCTAACACTTTGGAAAGCTGAGGCGGGTGGGTCATGAGGTCAAGAGAGTGAGACCCTCTGGCCAACATGGTGAAACCCTGTCTCTACTAAAAATAGAAAAATTAGTTGGGCATGGTGATGTGCGTGCACCTGTATTTTCCAGCTACTTGGGAGACTGAGGCAGGAGAATCCCTTGAACCCAGGCGGCAGAGGTTGCAGTGAGCCAAGATTGTGCCACTGCACTCTAGCCTGGTGACAGAGCAAGACTCCATCTCAAAAAAAAAAGAAGACTGTAGCTAAATCCTGTGACATAGTCCCTAATAAAGAAATCTTTGTTTTTAAGCTTGACTCCTAAGTAGAAAAATTATCAAATTGCCATTCTGAATTAGAGTGCTGCCGATTACTACCCTACGTGGCACAAGTTGTAGTAGTACAAAAAGTCCAAGGGGGAAAAACCCCCTTTATAGTCTCCTTACCTTTGAAGACCGATTTATTCTCTGTGTAGATAATCTTCTATATCACTGATTTCTTTCAGCTGACCTCAAGAGAATTTGCAAGACAATAGTTGAGGCTGCAAGTGACGAGGAGAGACTAAAAGCTTTTGCTCCCATTGAGGAAATGATGACTTTTGTGCAGTTTGCTAATGATGAATGTGATTATGGCATGGGGCTTGAGTTGGGAATGGACCTCTTTTGCTATGGCTCACATGTGAGTAAAAAAACTCCACCTGCCACCCACTGCCCCACCTCCCTCCTCTACCCCCAACACACATGAATACATGCACATTTATACCACCAAATTCCAGCAGAGCTAAGATAGAGATTCAGCTTGTATTTCAAAATGAATTTTTTGAAGTGATTTTTTTTTTAAAGCAAATGTCCTAAAAATATTTGAAATTCATCTTATATTCTAGCAAAGGTAATAACCAAGATTATTTGCATTCAGGCTTACATTAAAGTGTATTTACTGATTAGGTACATTATAGGGATATGCCTTCTTGCTGTGTGTATAGATTTGGAGCTATGTTTGGGGATGTGTGCACACACCTTAGGCTCCATTTTGTTTCCATTGTGGTGGGGGTATTTGTTATTGTGCTTGAAATCTTAGATGAAAAATATACTTTAAAAATTGTTTAAGCTTTGTAAGAGATGCTGTTTTACCATTAACTATTTGCTCATTAATAAAAAAATTTTACTTAATAGCTAAACCTGTGCTTACTCAACCATAGTTGCCTGAAAGTCAAAGAGGCAATAAGGTATGGCAGGCATGACATGCCCATGGGGCTAAACTGGTTGTAAATGACATCTTCCCCAGTGTGTAAGATTGGGCAAGCTTTCCAACACCTTTGTATCCGTCTCTTTACCTGTAAGCTATGTCTGCACATGTGCACACCCGTTCGCAGAGCATTTAATTCTCATTTAACCTACTTATAACTAAGTCACAGAGAGTCAAACCATCTTGCCCGGCGTTGACACGAGCAGTCTGGTTCCAAAGTCGGTGCCTAAATGACCGCAGTAATTCTCAAACTATAAAATGCATGTGACTCACCTGCAGACGTTGTTAAAATGCACTCTATTGGTAGGTCCAGGATTAGATCAGAGACTACGTATCTGTCATGCTTCCAGGTGATGGTGATGCTGCTGCCCTGCAGACCACAGGGGAAAGAGCAAGACTAACAGTAGCTTTCCAGCTTTAGCGTGCATCAGTCATCGGGAGGGCCTGTCCAAACCACACACTGGCACTCTCCCCACCCTCCCCAAGTTTGATTGAGATCTAGGATAGGTCCTGAGAATTTGCATTTCCAACAAGTTACCAAGTGAAGTTGATGCTCTTGGTCAGGGGTGTACATTTTGAGAACCCTGCTATAAACCATCTTATACTACTTTTCTTTACCAACCTCATAATTATCAGTAAAAATAATCAGAATGTTTAACAGCCAGAATGACAGTCATCAGTCAATCCAAATGGTGCTTGACCTGCTAGAGAGGCCCTAAGCATACACAGAGCCATAAGATGTGAACCAGTGAATAGCAAACTTGATTGTTGTGAGAATGAAAAGACGTGTAAGAGGAGTTATAAAAAGATTTAGCACAGGCCGGGCACGGTGGCTCACGCCTGTAATCCCAACACCTTGGGAGGCCAAGGCAGGCGGATCACAAGGTTAGGAGATCAAGACCATCCTGGCCAACATTCTATCTACTAAAAATACAAAAATTAGCCAGGTGTGGTTGCAGGCAGCTGTAGTCTCAGCTACTTGGGAGGCTGAGGCAGGAGGACCACTTGGAGGCAGCGGTTGCAGTGAGCTGAGATGGTGCCACTGCACTTCAGCCTAGCACCAGAGTGAGACTCTGTCTCAAAAAAAAAAAAATAAAAGACTTAGCGCAGTACTTACCACATGTTAAGGGCTAAATGTATGATCAACAAAAAGGTGGTATATGTAGATAACAGTAATCTAAAATCTTTTGATAAACCTAAGGCAGTGGCTCTTAACAGGGATTGGGAGGTGGTACATGTTGGGGATGGGGGAGAAGGAATTTGAGGATAAAGGAAATACGATCTGAAAACTCACTTTCAGCATAGCTATTGTTACAGAATGAAGGAAAATAAAGCTTAAATTTTGACTGGAAATACACTGGAGAGAATAAAACGTCTTTGTGGGCATAGTTCGGGGTGATACAAAATTGATAAAACCTAAAGGAAGAAGAAAACTCAAGTTTAGTTTTCTTAATTTTCAAGATATGCCATTAGTCTTCTAGAGCAACAAGATTGCCTCTTAGAATGCCAGGTGCCTGTCCCTAAATTGTGTTCACTTATCACTTGAGAGTGTAGCTAAAATGATTTTGGAAGTAGCCTTTGTTAAACAAGTGCTTTTTTCTTGATATTTTTTCTGCTACTTACTAGGATAATCTGCTATGTTCTCTGCTTCATGTTGTATTTTTTTATTTTTCAGTATTTTCATAAAGTTGCTGGTCATCTTTTACCTCTTGCTTATAAACTGTTGAAGAGGAATCTGTTTGCAGAAATCATTGAGGAACATCTGGCAAACAGAAGTAAAGAGAACATAGACCAACTTGCTGCATGAGTAAGGAGGCTTATTTGGTGTACAGTATTTCAAGGGACTAATATTAAACTTGTGATTTTTGTTTTGTTTTTAAGGAATACAAAAAAATATATACTAAAAATATAAGGTTCTTCTGCCTGGTTTTCCTTCTTTAATGTGCAAGCAAATGGCAGTTAAATCATCTAAATGGTCACCCTAATCACATTTTGGAAGACAAAGTCACCCTTTGATATGTCAGAGGAAGCCACTGTCTAATGCCTGTGGTTAACCAGACCATCCTTACAGAGTCTTGTTTCAGTATTTATCATATGGGCAACTAAAAATATTTCCTCTGAGTGAGTCTTGGGTTAACAGCTGTAGCTTTAAAGATTGTGTTTATGGTGGGTGAGGAGGAGAACAGAAAGAAACTCTACAATCAGCACTCTCCCAGGGTGCGTGACCTACCCAACCTGCATTTTGGGTCGTATCTCCAGGTGACTCCCAGCAAGTAGTCCAGTTATCCTATTAGAGATACTATTTTAAATCTTAACTCAGTCTGTCATTTACTAATATAGCCTGGTATATTGATACATCGTGTTAACATAAGATTGTAATCAGTATGCTGTTATTTTAGATTTAAAAGTTTTTCATTGCAAATGATTTCACTGGATTTTTAGTACAAATCTGTGAATAGCTGTGTTTTACTAGATCCCGATTTTCCTTAAACCTGATAAGTCCTTCATCTTAAAAGTAGAGGTTAGGGCCAGGCGCAGTGACTCACGCCTGTAATCCCAGCACTTTGGAAGGCCAAGGTGGGTAGGTCACTTGAGGTCTGGAGTTAGTGACCAGCCTGGCTAACATGGTAAAACCCCATCTCTACTAAATATACGAAATTACCTGAGTGTGGTGGCACATGCCTGCGACTCCAGCTATTTGGGAGGCTGAGGCAGGAGAATTACTTGAACCCGGGAGGTAGTGGTTGCAGTTAGCTGAGATCACACCATTGCACTCCAGCCTGGCCAGCGAGCAAGACTCCATCTCAAAAAAAAAAGTAGAGGGGAGATCATGAAATGCAAAATAGCAAACTTCATAGATGGGGCTGAGGAATGTACAAGCTTTTTTCCCCTTTCTATGAAGTTCAAGATAGGAAAGCCCCCAGGTCATCTAGGTAAACCTCCACATTTTGTAAGATTGACTTCCTTTACTCAAATAACTTCTTGACTAGCCAGTAGTTGTCCAAAGTTCTTACTGTCAGCTGTCTCCTCAAAATATATTTGAGGTACTTACTTTTTTTTGTATAAGGTCATGAGTAGACTATTAAAAGACAACATTTAGAAGTTTAAATATAAACAGCATTCTTCATCTTCGCAATTAGGCTGCAAGCTTCTTAAGAGCACATATTTTATGGATATATAGCCCACTCAGTAGCACAAACCTTTGGAATTGTACTTACTGAATAAATAGACCCTGTCACATCTTCCTGAGTGCCAGATAGAATCAAACTGTCAAAAGCTGAGAAACTGGTAAGATGCCTGGGAGTTAAGGATTCTTGACTTCTCAGACAAAGTCTTCTGGGGTCAAAAATCTCTGCCACACCCGAAATCTGTTCCTTTTCTGCCAATGGCTCATGCTGCCTTTGGAGGCAGGTAAGATGCTTTCTTCAAGGTAGGCATATTTTGTATAATATCTTAACCAAAACGAAACTGAAAAGATCTTTAGCTTCCCTTTTATAACTGTACAGGAAATTTTACAGCTCTAATGGAGAGGTCTCAGGTTTTAAGGAACTGCCATTTTAGTTAGGTAAGTAGCTCCAGGCCCTGGAACCATCAGAACTATTAACTTGTTTTATATTAAAATAATTACAGGAACAATTAGGTCACACATAATAGAAAAGGTGACCAAAGCACACCATAAATTTAAAATAAAATTTTAGAAGGTTGAGCTTTGTTCCTCAGATTTATTTTCTAAGGTGTTCAACTATTTCTAAATACTGCCATGTTAGCACTTTTAATGTTAGCACTTTAAAAATATTCAAATTCATGTATCCCCCATTAAAGATTTGTTTAGCTAGAAATATTAGATTCCTTTAATTTTGCCACTTGATGATCCAACAGTCTCAACTGTGTAGTTTGTAAATTTTTTATATGTCTTATGATCAGTAATATGGATTCCAGAAAGATTTCTTATGAAGAAACAAGTGAAAGAGGACAGAAAAAGGTGAACTGGCTTTTCATCCATTCCTTACAGAAACCTGACATGAATGTGTCTTTCAGGGCATATCAGAGCCAAGATAGAAATTGTTCACAAACCCTAAGAATATGGTGGTTATAATTCAGATAATATAGTTGTGAATGGCGTTTCCTAAAGACAGCAACAAAAAATGTGGATTCCCAGTCTCAAACTCCAGTTCTACTAACCTGCCTCAGGAGGTACCGATCTTCCAACTACTGAGCACTTTGCATTAAAGAGCAAGCTCCCTACAGGAAGATGCCAGACCTTATCTTTTTCCTTCACTAAATGCATAGTCCATTTAAACCTAGTGAACTAAATATTAGCTACCTAGGATCTGGTCACTCAATGACTATAGTAGATTCCAAATGGCATCTATCTACCTCCATTCTCTGAGAACACAGTTTAATTGCCTAGGCTCTTTCTTGAATGAAGAACCTTGATCCAATCAGGATTTAACAGAAAATCATTAACCAGTTCAAATTTAGCTAAGCTCACCTCTCGAAGTTCAATAATGGAGTTTCCATATAACCTCTCAAACATGTATGTAGAATAACACCCAAGGAAACATGAAAGCTACAGAACAGATTGCTATAAACTACTTGGCACTGTCCTAAGACCTTTGCATTAACTCAAACACTGACCTTAACAGCTTAATACCATTCTGTCTAAACTATTCCTATAATAATTTTAATGTCTGGCTGTGCAAGTTGGCTCACATCTGTAATCCCAGCACTTTGGGAGGCCAAGGTGGGCAGATAGCTTAAGCCCAGGAGTTTGAGACCAGCCTGGATAACATGGTGAAACTCTCTCTACTAAAAATACAAAAAATTAGCCAGGTGTGGTGGTGCACACGTGTGGTCCCAGGTACTCAGGCGGCTGAGGTGGGAGGATTGCTTGAGCCTGGGAGGCAAAGGTTGCAGTGAGCCAAGATCATGCCACTGCATTCCAGCCTGGATGTAATATCTATGTAGTTGATCCCTATAATAGTAACCTATCAGTTCCTTGACTTAGTCTTTCAATGATCTAGATTAGGGGTTGATTGACAAACTAGAAACTAGTATCTTCATAGTACCAATAACAAAAACCTCCCAAATCTCAATTTCAGGCATCCTACTGTCTTAACATCATCACTCATCCTTCCGTCTCTTTCCCTCTAGTACCCCAACAATTTTTCAATAAACAGTCCCCTACAATTCACAAATGTGACCACCTTTTTCATTCTTCTCCCACTCCATTCCCTATTCTCTCTTTACCCAGGCTTTGGATTCTATTTCACATCATTACCATCACTCCTCTATCCTCCACTCCATTGCCCTTCTCTCCATTTGTTGTAATTTATCTGTTAAGCCACATTTTTAAAACTGCCCATTCTTTACCTGAGTCTGTTCAGTTACAGTTGGCTGAAGAAAAAATACAACCATGGCAGCTCATCTGATTTTAACCTCAAGTTGGCCATGCTGGATGTCCACCAATCCTACTTTCTCATCTTTCAGCCCTAACCACCCCCCCATCCTCAGTTTATTTCACTGAAAAAATAGAAACAACCAATAACTTCAACAGAATCCCACTGCCTTACCAGCTACCCATTATATGTCACCTTTCCTCCTTTCTCTGAAGGTTGAATGTGTGTCCAAGACCACACCTCCTTTGTCTACTCAAGCACTTCTCTATTTTTCCTCTCAAACATTCCTATCATTAACCAAAAAGCTATAATTTCCTGCATCTTAAAATCCAATCAATCTTAATTTTCCCTGTCAAACCATCAACAGCAAAAGAAGCTATAATATCCTGCATCTTAAAACTATCACACATTACTCTTCTGAAAACCTCATAGAAATGCAATGGTTGTCTTCAATTCTTCCAATCTCTGTCGGACCCACTCCTTTCAGGCTTTGGCTTGAAAAACACACACTGAACCTTCTCTGGGGAAAGTTATCAGTTATCTCCACATTGGACCATTTTGAGCCCTCATTTATTTCACCTATCAGCAACACGTGACAGTTAATCATCACTCCTTGAAACTACCCTTTTTTGAGACAGGGGCTTGCTCTGTCACCCAGGCTGGAGTGCAGCAGCACCATCACAGCTCACTGCAGCCTCCAACTCCTGGGCTCAAGTGATCCTCCTGCCTTAGCCTCGTAAGTAGACTACAGGTACATGCTACCATGTCCAGATGATACTTTATTTTCTAATTTTTTGTAGAGACATGGTCTATGTTTCCCAGGCTAGTCATGAACTCCTGGGCTCAAATGATCCTGTCCCACCTGGCCTCCTGAAGTGCTAGATTTACAGGCCTGAGCCACGACACCCAGCTTATGTTTTAATAAATCCACCAGTGGAATACCCTTCTATGAATGTATTCACTTCTCCCAACCCAGCCTCACTAGCTCGCTCATTTGCTGGCTCCTCACCTCCCCAAATTTAAAAGTAAGCATGTGTCAGTGCCACGTCCTTGTACCTCATCTTTGTCTGCACTCAGCCCGTGGTACTCTCCTGTCTCAGGATGATGCCACCCCGTGTAGCTCTCGGGCTGGGCCTTTCTCCTGAATTCGAGTCTGATACATGCTGATGCCTATGTGACACCCCCACTTGGAAGTCTAAAAGACATTTAAAACAATGTCTAAAACCAAAATTCCTCTGCACACAGCACCCCACCCCCAAATCTCTTCTTAAAAGTCTTTCCTACCTCACCCAGTGGCCATTCCATTGTTCTGTCATTACGCAGCCAAAAAGTTTGCAGACGTCCTTGAGTCCTCACTTACCACACTCCACATCCAACCCATTCCCAAGTCCTTTCTATTCCACCTTCAGCGTCCATCCACTTTCACCACCTCCACCAGCTTCAGTCAGGTTCAGATCTCCACATCTCACCTGAATTATTCCAAGAGCCTTCTAGGTGGTCTCCTGCTTCC